TATTAGGGTTACATTCATTGAAATAGGATTCAAATGATATTTCATCATTCCACCGTTCAATCATTAGTTGTTCAATAATTGTTTGTATTTTTGTGGTCGGTAGATAACGACTTGTATTTTGAGACCAAATCATCGGCGTAGCATTAAAAGGGGCATATGAATTTGAATAAATTAATTTATTGAATGCATTAAAGCATGTTTGATTGTAAAAACATTCAAATGTAGAAGAAAATGTTGTTTCAATCACATAACAACCGATACGAAAATTTGGTATAGTAAAAGGTGTTCCCATGTAGCCATAGACACCGACTAATGCACCGCAAGTTGTAGGATCTATTTTACATGAACAATACCTGCTAGGATTTGCTGTATCATCATAATAAATCTGTGGAAAAAGTAAGTCTGTAGTTGTAAACATCCAATTTGTTAACGAACCAGAATATAACTGATTGCTAGTGCTTGCTCCTCTAACAACGGATAGTGTTAGTAGAAATGTATTAATTGTTCTTTGTATGAAGAGAGCAACAATTTGTTCACTCTGAGATTGAAATGAATCATGCAGATATACATTTTTGGTGACATATTTTGTTGAATTAAATATTGATAATTCATTTTCAATAGTTTTCAGTGATAAATCACAGAATGAAGACAGTGTTTGAAAGATTAGCGGACCAAAACCACGAACATCATTTTTATTCAAGTAGACGACTGACGTCAGTCGTAGATATTTTATCCACTTTGTTGTTATGAAATCCGATTGACATATTTGATGAAATGTTGGATTGAATGAAACGAAACTTCGGTATTCAATTGCGATCTTAGTACATGGACATACTAATGTTTGCGGATATTTGATTTGTAGCGAAGTATAATCATCAAGTGTTGGTTGTTGGACGGTGACGGTATGTGTTACAAATGTTAATGATGTGTAGAAGATGAGTATTACCAATGAAATGATCAGCGTGCCAATGAAGACACGAGTAGAAATTAGTTGATCCCTTAGATCATGAGCAGTTTCTTTTTCTGGATCTCTGAACAGATTCAATCTGGTGACAAATCCTTTAATATTTGTCGATAAGACAGAGATGCGTTGAGTTAAGGTCAAACGACGTATTACTGGAATGAAAGAAGTTTTAAAATGAAGTTTTTAAGTAAATATTAGAGCTATTCGAGTTTATATAAACTGTCGAGGAGTTTGGTTTTGAGCAAGCGATTCTACTCTGCTAAGGAAATTTCAGACGTTGAGCTTGACTTCTTCTTTTTATGCGCAGCTGCTTTAGAGAAGAGAAGAGTGAACCGTTATGTATAAGAAGAGTAGTATTTTACACCGGGCCATATTTTAATCTGTTTTTAGTGGTAAAGTCGGAAACTAGCAGAACTCCGTTCTGGAAACGACGCACTAGATAGAAGAGAGCGGCTTTTCAAGTGGCAATAGTGTTTTTCACTTCGACACATAGACATATAGCAAGTTTTTCCCTCTACTTTACCGCGAGCTGGTGATCGTCGTGCACTGAGCCATTGTCGAATATTTGTAACAATTGGTGGTGTAATCAGTATTAGAATTGTTGCAATACCACCGATGAAGGCAATTGTGTTCGTAATCACATAGACGATATCAAATTGTTTAACATATGTATAGGTACACGTTTGTGGATTACAGTGATCAAAATACGATTCGTAGGATGAATTAAAATACCATTCCTCCACCATCAAATTGGCAATGAGATCACCAATAGTCGGTAGAGAAGCTACTGAACTGCCGACTTTGAGCGGTGTAGCATTAAACGGTGACGGTGAATCTGTTAGCTGAAACTTTAATTCAGATAAACAAGATTCATTGTAGAAACAAGATAAATCTGACTGTAGAACAGCATCCAGAACTAAACAGCCAACACTAATACCTGGCACATCAAATTCTATTTCACCGTCTATTTTACTGTTGCATGGCGGTGTATGGTCATATTTACAATTTGGGATGTAAGCAGACGTATTGTAGATACCGGTAGTTGCTTTACAATAGGATGATAGTGAACACATACAACTATCATTTACAGATGAATACTCTGCCGTATGAGATAGCTGTTGGACGGTGCTACGGGTTGATGGTATAGCCAGTTGATAATTTGTTTTTAGACGATTAACAATTTGATTACCTTGGAGTACTGTGCGTATCGTGTTGAGTGCAGCTGAAAATGAGTTTGATGTTGTATTAACAAACTGTTCGCGTATTGCTTCAGCGTTAGCTAGGATAATGTTATCGGGTTGAACAGATTCGGAAAATAGTGTTGTTGTTTGCAGTTGAATCAGCTGATCATCGATTGTTTGTGAAACGAGGGCGCACAAAATTTTCAGCATAGTGAAGAATGAATATCCGGAATAACGAAAATCATAGGGATGTTGATATTTTACATTGTTCAATGGTCGGTAGTTGATATAGTTTAGCCATTCTTCACTGACAAAATCACTTGAACATATTTGATTGAATGTATGTGTGAATGAGGAAATAAAATCTTGATATTGAATTAGGATCGTTGAACAGGGACAAACTAATGTATTTGAATGGTTCGAGAGTAGATTTTTGTAGACAGAAACAGTAGGCTGGTTTACGGCGCCGGTTTTTGTCAGCGGTGTGAGAGATGTATAGGGAATGAGTGCAATGACTGTGAGAATAAACAGAATAAGATAGACGTAGGTAGAAATACGTTGGTTTTTTAGATCTTCTCGTTCTGTCTTTTCAATATCTTCAAACAGATTAATATTTTGAATTTTATTTTTGAGACTAATGCATATTAACATCATTTTCTAGGAAAAATGAAAGGAATAGAGATTAGATCTTAAAGCATTCTCTTTACAAAAGTGTGACAGCGGCTGGCACAACACACTTGAAGTTAAGTCCAACTGAACGCACTTTAGCTTGTAAGTTTGCGAGTTCTCAGTATATTTATTCTTTTTCAGTCAAATTTTAAGGGGCGCGTAATTCAAAAATCAAGCAGTATTTTATTTTTAGCTTCTTTATATATGATTCGATAGAGAATTTGAAGCTGATCACCAATATCGCCTTTTTAGCCTTCCCGATGTACGTTTGCGCGTTGAAAAATTGAAAATACGGGAAGGGTCTTAAAATCCGAAAAACTCTCCTATTTCGAAAAAAGTTGAATACTTGTTCTCTCTTTTATTTTGAAGCTCTCAAACAGCTTTTTCTAATTCAGCCTTGAAAATTGAAGTAGAAAATGTGTTTTTGATGCTTGTCATCTATAATGTCATTGCACAAAGAATGCATCTTCAAGGATATCTCGAAAGCAGATACCTCGTCGGAAAAAGCTATCTAGTTTCTTTTGGTGAAAGATAGAACGTTCATTCTTGCGCCATTCGATCGGCCTATATAGCCGATTAAAGAGGAGCAGAACTTTGGTTACGGTAAATCCGACCTAGTTTTTTCTTTGAGCAACTCCAAGGTCTGCCGAGTGGCTAGAAATGTTCTCCTGTTCATTCTGCACCTAACCATGTGTCTTTCGATCGAATTCAAGCAGGGGCCGATTCCATCAAATAATCGCCCCCATCCTATCACTTTTGCTAAAATCAGGAGCGAAAAGATCGGAATTCTGCCCGTAATTTTCAATCTTCTTCAACAGAACTCACTTTTTATGCGATAAAGGTATCATATTCAGAGTCAGTGTCAAAGACTGATTCGCATGATATATGCTTTGAAAGTTTCCGTTGATTTTCATTTTTTGGAGAAAACTCCTATACAACCACTTTTGTGTTTTTCGAAAGGACAGGGGCGATTATTTAATGGAATTGGCCCTGCTTGAATTACATCGACCCATACATGAGTAGATGCAGAATAAACAGGAGAACATTTCTAGGCACTCGGCAGACGTTAGAAATGCTCTCAGAAAAAATTGCGTCCAAATAGAGAATTTCTCGCGCTACTAGTTCAAGTTTGTAACATAGTGACAAAAGTGTCCTAGGGCATCTTGACATTAGAAATACTTTCTGTAAACCCGTGAAAAGAGGGTGACTTATTACACGGTGAGTATCATATGGTCAACGTTTCGCAACTAGCCACTACGATAGGTACACCAATCGATAGAGAATTCCTTGCGCTACCATTTCATGTATGTAACTTCTTTCATGTATGCAACATCTTGGCATTAGAAATACTTTCTGCAAAGCCGTG